GCAGTTGGGTTTGTTTGTTTTTCCCCTGTTGTTCTGATCCATAGAAGCATCTCTCACCAGAGGAAAAAGTGTGAGACAGCAGCCATTAGAGAAGGGACCTGACTACTGCCAAGGAAGAAAAGATAGGAGCAGGCACATGCTTCCAGCCCAAGGTGCTCCCTGCACTGAGAACCTCCAAGATCAAGGGAAAGCAAGATGCCAAGATACAGGGTCCCCTGTATCTCTCCATGGGCCACTGGGCCCAGAGATGGAACCTTGAAAGGATATAAGGACCTCCCCCAAAGCCAACTCACGGACGTCTAGCCTTCTAACTTGTGCGAGAATACCTTTTTGTTTAAGGCATCCATTTGTGGTGTATCTATTACAGTAGCACTAGAAAGCTAAAACAGCCTTTAAAAGGCAAGGTTGGCGGTCTCCTTCAGGTCGAAGATCCAAAATGGTTCAAAAGCTTAATGGAAAACAATAGCGCTAGAAGAAAGCTTGTGAGGAAGTTTTGCTACTTGTAAAAAAAGTTTGAAAAGTTTGATTACCTGAAAATGTAAAACTTCTACAAGGGAAAACAGAAGAATAGCCGTCACAGTACACTAGCAAAGCAAGCTTTCAATAGGGAGAACCAATTTTTTTCCTACAAATGAAAAGCTAATAATTGACTTATTAGGCATATGCTGTAACTCCATGAAACAGATAAAAACAGGAAAGTGTAAAAATGGACAAAGATATGACTATCTATATATAGATAAATGGCCCTTAACTATAGGAAAATATGTGCAACACTAGGCGTAAGGTAAGTATAAACTCAAACCACACGTAGAGATCATCCTGACTTGCAAGGTAAGCAGCAATCCAAAGCATTGGATGACACGTGTGTTGCCAGGGCCAGAAAGAGGCAGTCTTTTGAGATTGCCCTAAGAACAGCCATCAGCAGTACCTGCCACAGTAGCCAAGGTGCTTCCCTAAGGAGCCAGCAAGCCCACTTCAGGAAGAGGATCCTTTGGCTACATCTACACCAGCTAAAATGACATCTGAGTGCAGTTACTCAAATGGCAGGATGGTTAATGGCAGAAGACAGGGGACAGCCAAATGCCTGTCAGTATGAGGCAGGTGAAATAAATTAGGGCATATCTACACAGTGGAATATTCCTGAGCTGCACAAATATGAGAACCTCTTGGAATTGGTCTTCAAAGGTTCTTTACTGTTAGCTGAAGGTGTGTGTGTTCTGAAGGCAGAGTTCTGTGGAAAAATAGGGATTTCTATTATTTGCTTAAAATGACACAAAAGAACTTTAGAAAGATACAGATAAAACCAGCAAAGCCCTAAGGTATTTATGAAGTGGGGACTTGGAGGGTGGCAATCGGGAAGGGAGGGAGGTTTTTATACTGTATAGCTTTTCAGCCTTTCGTTCTGAGCCAGGTAAATGCACTACCTATTTTAAAATTTTTAATATCAATAAAAATAAAAAAAACCCCTCACAGTCATCAAGTCAATGGTAATTCATAGTGACCCCATACGACAAGGTAGAACTTCCCTGGGTTTCCAACACTCACTGTCTGCAGCAGTAGAAAGCCCGTCTTTTCCCCCAGAGGCAGGTTAGTGGGTTTTGAACTTCGGACCTGGCGGTTAG